GAATGCTGTGATACATGCCCGTTGACTGAGAAAGAAAGCTTGTGCAAGAGAGTCAAGTGCTGGATCTGTGGCCTTTGACGAAGGCGAGGGTGTACGGAAACACCGCAAGGGCCCTGTGCTCTCTTTGAAGGGCAAAGTGTGAGCAGTATTAAGCTGTGACATACTCGACGCTGACTCGATTATCAAGGCACTACCGGGACAGGCTGTCGAAATCTACTCATAGGAGATGGGTGGCGGAGGCTGGCCATCATGACTCGATGAGTCCCGGAATAGAGTTAACAGTTCAAGGTTATTAGTCAGTCATATACCATAGGAAGACCTTGCTATAGCAAGGGGTTCCCCGAGCTTTTGGCTTGGTCTAACAAAGGTTACTCACTAGAACCTATGTTTGAAGAGAAAAACGGCGCGGGAGTCATCTTATAGACTGTTTAAGAGCATGTATTACAAACTTAGCGCTCCCATAAGCTCGAACCGGCATCCTCAATAGCATATACACAGTATTCACCTCCTCCTAAGTCCCAGATGCCTCGTCAACTTAGCATGCCACACTAAGCCAAGGTACAACAACCTACTTCTTTATTTCATCCTTGGTTCCCAGTTCTTGTTCAACTTTTCTTCCCTCAGTCTCTCCAGTCGTTCCGTCAAATTATTGTGCGTCCAACGCATAGGTCCCCTATCCCGCGCCGCCTCAAGTGCGTCGCAAACCGCGTGGTAGACTTCACTGAAATTACGAAAAATGTAGTCAAGTGCAGCAGTAAGAAGATTATCCACGTTGTACCTTTTCTTTGCCTTCTCGATATACTTGTTGACCCTTTCGTACGTGATGCCGTCCATCTCACGATATTTGTCAAGCAAGTATTGTGCGAACTCGATATGGAGATCTGATGCCTTCACCTCATTTTCTCCAAACTGCCTTCCCGTTCTCTTGAGAGTCAATTAGGAGGTGAAACTTTGATAGCGGCACTGTGAGGTGAGTGCCCGTGAATGGATTGTCCTTACCTCGCAGTCAACGCATATACTTTTCTTGAGGAACACATAGTTGGGACACTTGACTTCTGGTGTCCAACACAAGATGCAAGGGAATATCCGAACAACTCTGTTGATATTCATTATACTCCTCCAAGTGACCCTAGAAGATTGGTCTCGAGTTTGAGCAATTCTCAGGGAATGGTTGCCAAAGGTCCAAAAGATGCGAAGCAAGATACTCATACGAATAAAGAGTGAACAATTCTTATGTAAACTGAGGTATTCATTGCTTTGAAGGATTTGATTGATGTGAGTAAGGAGATTCTGATAATATAAACGGCGATAAAGCCTGGTTTTTATCCTTCAACTTCACCCATGTCTTCTAGTATCTCTCCATCGGTTAAGCTAGCAAACAATTTCACACAGATATGAATAAGATTGTATCCATAAATGCCTTGATAAAAAGCTCGAGTGGTTTCACCAAGATTTCGGAGTATTGACTGATCTTACTTTCTACTGGCGCTGCTGTCGCACAACATCCAACGTTTAAAATGAGTGTAAGTGGATGGAAGGGGGGTGGCTGCAATATTGGTTCAATGGTCCATGTCCAAAAAAATTCTCGCACCTCGTAAGATACGGCCATGCCCTTGACGGTTCAGAATTTAAATTGTGTGTAACAAGTGACGGTTCAGGTTCAACGGTTCTGATTCATACCTGGCGATATTCCTTCCATTTGTGTTACCTTTGTTGTACCCTTCATGCATAGTGCGAGTTTACAGTATCTTTGTATAAAAAGCACTGTCCATGATGCGCGCCCCCAAATTCCATGTTGACATGATGGGTTGTCAACGCTTCGCGATCATGCTCATGACACCTCCCAACTTCGCATTGGGACCGCCAACGACGCCCGAAGCCTGGCTATAGCTCACCAAGTAGCTGCATTCAAAATCTTAATCCAGTGAATATCCACTGGTAGAGCACAAGAGGCCCGGCGCACAGGCTTTCCCAACTTCTTGCCGCGACCGACTCCCTTCTGCCAATAGCTACCCCACCAACCAACAAAACAGCAAAAGATGGCACTCAGCGTCCACGAGATCTCCCAGTTACGTGCTGCCTTGCAAGATGCCGTCGTCAAGTGTTCGGAAAGATGCTTGTATCAGTCATCAAAATGGTGATCACTTTCACGAAACTATCATTGACCATGGCGCATAAACTAACGTGGCCAGGGCTGCCGAACTGCTCAATGCGCTCCCCGAGATCGAAGAAGACGAAGAAAATATCAACCCTGCGGATCCCGGACACACCTCTCCGATATTTGCTGCGAACAGCGATCCAGAAGAAGCAATTCTGGAAGCCAAAGAACTCGGCAGATATCTCTTAGCCAAATCTCTCTTCGACTGTCGAGAATATGACCGTTGCGCTGCTGTGTTTCTGCCTGACTCCCTCCTTTCAAGTGTTCTTGCCTCGCGTGTAGACAGCATTTCAGCATCCACCACCACTGTAAAGGGGAAGGGGAAGGCGTCCAGCGCTTCATCTGTGATGCCACTGCCAAAGCTCAGTCAGAAGAGCCTGTTCTTGGCACTATATGCCAAGTTCATGTCCGGGGAGAAGCGCAGGAATGAAGACTCCGAGATGGTTATGGGCCCTCAAGATCTTGGCACAGTGGCGAACAAGCAATTACTTGTAATAGGTCGATTCTTAGCAACTTGGTTCGAGGAGAGGACAACGGAAGACGATGAAGTATTAGGAAGCCAGGGATGGCTCGAATATTTGTGAGTGCTATTCCTGTTTCTTTAGTGTTGAGCGACTAATCACAACCTACAGGTATGGCATGGTGCTAGCCAAAGAGAAGAACGATGATAAGGCACTGGAATATTTCATTCGAAGCGTACACAAGTACACCATGAATTGGGGCTGTTGGTTGGAAATGACGTCGTTAATATCTCGAGTTGAAGACGTGAGTCTCCCATGTAATATCCTCGCTTCTTTTTAATCGCTAACACCTTCCGAGTTGAATCGGATATCCAGACATTGTCCTCAGAATATTGTCTCTTACATGTTCCACCTGCACACCTCTCTAGAACTCTACCAACAAGGGCCCGGTCTGGCCAATTCTCTTGAACAACTTCTCTCGATATTTCCAACCTCCTCTTTCCTTCTCACATGCAATGCACTCCTGGCATATCACGCCAAGGACTTGATGGCTGCTGAACAGCACTTTACTCGACTGCTGGCACTCCATCCACATCGGCTAGATTCTCTCGACCATTATTCTAACATTCTATACGTTCTCAATCTTCGCCCAAAATTGGCTTTCCTGGCACACCTGTGTTCCAGCGTGGACAAATTTAGGCCCGAGTCTTGCGTGGTGATTGGAAATTATTACTCTTTACTATCGATGCATGAGAAGGCTGTCCAATATTTCCGTCGTGCGTTAACGCTAGACCGATCATGCTTGTCAGCATGGACGCTGATGGGTCACGAATATGTTGAACTTAAAAACACACATGCGGCAATCGAGTCATACCGCCGTGCAGTTGACGTGAACCGCCGGGACTATCGGGCCTGGTATGGTCTTGGTCAAACATACGAGATGTTGGAGATGCATACATACTCATTATGGTACTACAAGAAGGCTGCTGGTCTACGGCCATGGGACGGAAAGATGTGGATGGCTGTAGGCTCATGTCTACAAAAAATGGGCCGAGAACGGGATGGTATCAAAGCCTTAAAGCGAGCTTTACTAGCTGATGCTTACTATGACGTGGGGAGCAGTTTTGGTAGCGGTGATCTCCTTGGCAGCCGGAGCGCCACAGGTCATATGGACCCCGACATCCTTCTGCAGATTGCGGTAATGTACGACCAGCTTGGTGAAGAGGAAGAAGCCAGGTCATACATGGAATTATGCGTGGCCCAGGAAGATGGCGGTGGAGCTGCAGAAGCTGATCCGGCTGAGTCGATTGCTATTCACAACGACTCTCCACCCGGCTCAGATAATGGTGCCGAGGGCAACGAGAACCCAGGGAACGAGGGTACCGGAGTCACGGCGGCGACAAGCAAAGCGCGCATGTGGCTGGCAAAGTTCTCAATGCGCACTGGAGATTACATGACGGCCTCTCGACTTGCGGGAGAGTTGTGTCAGGACGGTGTCGAAGTGGAGGAAGCAAAAGCACTTGTGAGAGAAGTTCGGTCTCGAATGGAAGCGACGGGAATGCTCGACCCGCTGAGTTAGCAATATCAGCAAGGATAAGTACATGCCTAATCGTGTATTCAGAAGTGTGCAGTCAAGGATGTCTTTGGCTGATGAGAATATGCATCACGTTGCTCATGAAATGTTCAAATAAAGATGGCTAGTAAATAATGTCATTGCAGAGACTATTCACCACGTGTAGCGACTCGAGAATACCATAGCAGTTGCATGATCTACTATGTACCTATTTAAATCTTCCCCGGATCTACCGCCGCTTGCATCATCGATCATTCCCCTGAAAGCTGCTGGCCGAATCGTAAATGGCACTCCCGGGATCAGAGTTGAGGTCGGCCCGATGGTCGAAGTCTATGCATGCACTATTGGCACTGAAGTATATTCATCGGTCGGTAGTCAGTCTCCAAGAAATGCACACTTCAGTAATCGAACCCATTGAACGATAATCGCGAGGATCGTGCCATACCAAGCCTAAAGCTCGGGGAACACTTTGCTTTAGCAAGGCTTCCTTTGGTATATGACGGACTAATGATCGTGACAATTATGAAAGCAAGTCAAGAACTAACATTACTCTGGCTAGTCATAGTACAAAAACCCCTATACGAGCTGGCAACCCAAAGTCTACATATGGTCTTACTATTTTAATCTACCCAGGTGCCATGTGCTTTCGTGAGAATTTGTTGAAGGATACAGGCCTGTAAGACAATGTTCCCGCCCCAATACCCTTAAAGGACCTCTTCAGTTTTGGTCTTGCGGCACCTCCAACAGTCTCCCACCATCATTGGTGTCAATATACAGTTTGGGTTAACATTGCTTTCTACAGGAGTGATCACATGGCCAAAGCTACAATGCCAGCCAACACGAAAGCGCCAAAGCTTCCAGACACCTTATTAGCAGCGGCCGAAGGCACAGAAGCCTCGATAGTACCAGTAGGGTTGACCGGGGGTAGGGCAGCTCGAGATGGAGGAACAGCCGGTTGTCCGGGTATAGAGGGAGGAGACGGCGGCCCTGGGGCTGGGGCCGAAACCTCGGGGGGTGGAGGAGGAGGTAGAGTACCAGCAGCTGGAACTGTAGCTTTTGGCGGAGGGGGCCCAGATGCAGGAGGAGGAGGGGGAGGGGGAGGAGCTTCTGGGACAGGAACAGTGGATTCGGGGTTTGCTGGTGGAAGATAAGGCTCAGAGTACGGGACTGTAGCCTTGGTAGGAGGTGACGCCGGCTTGCTGGGAGGCAGTGGTGGTGCAGGAGCAGATGAGGACATCACCGGAGGCGGGGGGGACATTGGCTGGCCAGGGGGGGCCGTGGGATAGACGACTGTCGCAGGGGACTTTGTGTTCTGCGTGTAAGTGACAGTACACGGGCAGTCTGTCTCATATGTCAACTGAAACCCAGGAACAATTAGGTAGTCATCATTACTTACTCGTGATGGTCAAATAAGTTGGCTCCGTGGCCGTGTAAGTGAGGTTTTTATGGTGAAACGTAGTAGGTTCCTGTGATAGTCTTAGTCAAGCTGAACTCAGCTCAAATCGCAATTCAGACTCACAGGACAGTAGAATGAGTAGTCAGAAGTGATAGTAGTCACGAGGGTCTCGGCCGTGCTATGCTTCGTTTCATTTTTGATGGGCGGTTTCGGAATGGGCGACATTATCGGAACAGAGCCAGCAGCAACACCTCTAACGAGCACGACCGCTGAGAAAGCCTTGTAGATCTTCATCTTTGTTTTCAAGTTTATGTTTGAGTATGGAGGCCAAGAATGGTATTTGGAGAAGATTCGAGGGTGTCAAGAGAATGTTAAAGCACTCGATTGTTCAAGATAACCAGGCAGCTTTTATACTTCACAAACGGACATGTGAGCGCATATGGAAACCACCGAATAACCTTTCAACTCAAGAGACTAGGGGATTTCCGAATATACGTGAACGACGGGAGCCTCCGATGTGAGTGTAGGGCTGAAGATGGCTCTCTATGGGGGCAGAAGATAGGACAACTAACTATGTGGCAGACACTCACCAAATCGACATTTTCTGTCACAGAGCTTGCTTAGCTTTTACAGACAAAAGATGAAGAATAATGAACCCAAATTATTGATATAATCGCTCTCAGAGTATCTCGAATGAAGTCAATACAGCACCAGATTTTATCCAGATGTTTTGTGGGCGCGCAAAGTCTCATTGAGACTGTGACGAAATAGAGGCGATTTAAAGTCATGAAATCATTTCTCGTTATTGGGCGGTGTCAGTACCTTCGGCATCGGTTTGCGCCTCTTTTAGCTGTATAACATTGCAATGAGCGGCGAGTCCGTTCGTTTAAATATCCTTCTGGATTTTGGTTGTTCGTTAGAGTAATAGCTTTGGCTTGTATAAACGGGATACTTCCAATTCTACAAGCTAAGAAATTGGAAGTTGGTAATGCCCAAAGTAACATCACTGCCACTAACACAGAAGAAGTTATACGCATCAATTAAGAGCTGCTCAATTCACGTAAATCTTCGATTCTATATACCTACCTAGGTAGTTAAGTCATGTTGTGTGATGATGTGTTAGAAGGCAAGGCTAAGAGCAATAGGGTAAAACGACCATGGGTGAGATACCTAGGTAGGTAGTCAAGGAAACGGGTCCTTCGTACTGACATTGGAATCAGTAGATCTCTATCAATAATCATCTAGCCTTTTTGTTTTCGTGAATTTGGATCCCTAGGTAATTGTTTTGTTGAAGCTTCATTGCGTCGTGCGTTTAAGAGTCTCCAATTACAAGACTCGGGCACAGAAATCACGACAAACTATCCAAATATGCAAGAATAATCCAGAAATATAAATCTATCAAGAATAAAACATAAAAAACACATCGCCATACAGATAAGCCTGTCAATGCCCATCAACAACTTTCAAGGAGCCCGGCCGTAGAACGGAGTTCGGTAGTCAAGGTCACGTGCCGGTTCATGAAGCAACAGAAGTCGTCACACGATTCACCCCACTCGAGCACCTTATTATCCTCAATAAACATGTAGCTCAAGGAAAGCTTCCACTCCACAATTCAAGTATGAATCCCTGGAAGAGGCATGTCACAACTTCTTCACTTTATACTCAGCACGCCACTCCTACCTGGAATCAAAAAGTGTTGACAAGTCAAGCCAAGCCTTTTTCCCGTGGCTCATGAGTCTGCTCGATTTGAAACGGAATTCGAACTAGCTCAAGGGTGTCAGAACGGAAAGATGAGAGATTATTCTGCTGTTTAAACTCATAAGATTCTATCCTCTAGCCATCCACCGCGGGTGGTTATGGCCTAGCGTAAGGTGACAAGACCGCGCAATGAACTTTCCTGGCACGTTGAAATTGACCAGCAAAGCACATGGCCATGTGCGGTCTCCTCCCCAGCCAAGTTCGGACGTGAGGGAAAAGCACGCTTGATTTCTTCAACTGATCCAGCAGAAGTCAAGCCGCAGAGTTCGACTCCTTGACCCTGAGCTGCCGAAATCCCGTGAGCTCAACCAGAGTCTACAAACCTCGACGACCATCATTGGGCGCTATTGAGATGAGCCCAAACATCATCACAAGCCCTTCCCATCACCTGGGACTTGAGCATTCTAGTGTTTCCAAACTTTCTCAACAATGCCTCAGATGAGGCATTTCTTACACACTATACTCCTTTCTTGGCCATGAACCTTGTTCTAGACCTCAAAACCAACACGATAAGAGGGAGACTTACCGGCCGATGTGTGCGGAGTGCGGACAGACTTGAGCTCGGAGTGGAGATTTGCTCTTCGGTAACGGATCAGATGGAGTACCTTCGGCCTCACTTCAAAGATCACCGTGTCGCCGGCCGGTCTCCGAAATTGTGGACCTTTCCACTTACCGCGATGTTTTCCCAGCATCTCAACCGACTTTTAAGTGTGGAAATTATTGACAAAGTTGAAGTTCTGAACCGCTTTTTAAAGAGATTCACCGCTCACTGGAAGAAAGCCTGCGTTTCTGCAATCCGGCACTCGAGACTAAGAAATATATGTGTGTGTGCATGAGAGAGGACTTCTGACAACTATCGTTCAATGAAAGATCAAGTGGTAGTGACATGAGGCCTAGCCTCTTCTGCATGCAGCAAGAATTGGTCTGGTAGCTACGATGACTCGCAACGACGAACTTTCCTGCCGACATCGCTAGTTAGACACTAGATTTTCTTCGAATTTGGCGAGAAGAGGACATGTCATTGACGATGTAGCATGAGGCAAGATACACTCGATCGTGTCTGATCGGGAACCAAAAGCTCGTTCAGCCCCAGACTTTGCTTTTGCAAAATCCTTCACCTGCTATCAAACCTGGCCAAGGGCAGTGGGATCGACAATCAACAAAGATTGGTGATGTGAAGGTCAGGCCGCAAAACAGAACTCTACGGGCCTATAACAGCCCGTCTTAACACACCTGCAGACCGTGGTACACCTACTCGCTTCTTGGCTGCAGAACGTGCAGAACGTGCAGAACGGAACCTTCTCGGGCTAGGCCAACAACTTGAGAGGGAAGCCAAAAACCACGCGGCGCAAAACCTTTCATGACTGTTTCGTACTGTGGGCAACGGCCTAGACCACCAAGACGGAAGAAAGTCCGCGACGTTTTGAACGCACCAAGAAAGCGATTTTTTCTTTTGTTCCCACTCCGTTTATACAAATCCGTTAAGTTCCATGCTTGTCTAGTGTAGCGGCCTCAGGCACAAAACCCAGACCCATAATCCTATTTTGCTCGTCTCCTCGGCCAACGCAACCTAGCATCATGGCGCAGGTATCAACAAATCACTCTCGCGAATACCCAGCAAGCATTGGGGGGTATTGGGACCCCAGTATACACTATCATCGGGTCGACTCCCACCTTGCCATCTCGTGCCGATGGAGAACGTATCCTTCGGGGAATGTGACGAATCGTTTTCTCAGTACTCCGTACCTGAATCGCAAAACGCAAGAATGCAGGCCTCTTCAGAATTCCCTCGAGTTGATCATTGGTGACGCGGCAGCCCTACCCTGATCCCCAGTGAGATGGATGTTATCGGTCTATGGGTTACTCTACATAAACAGGGTCAGCAGCGTGGCAGACTCGGGGCAATTGATCGCCAGGCACAGCCAGCAAACTGTCAGAAAATTCTTGGTTTGCTTTGTTGTCGTCGCGACGTGGCAACATATACTGGGGTTTTCTTATTCATCAAAACCGGACCATCGTCAAGAACTGAATCATGATCTTTTGAGGGTCTCGACTCTGCGACTAGACCTAAGAGAACCAAAAGACAGTAACCGAGGGAACAGATCATGGCGCTGTGTGCACTTTCTTTCTTTCTTTTTGACACTTCCTGGCATCATTCAACGGTGCATTGGCTAGGAATGTCGAGCCGTTAGTGTCTGTCTGCACCGCGAAAAGTCTGTTCGCCTTTGCAGACTCAGAAAAGCCGCAGTGGCTACGATTATTGATTCAGTCTCCACGTGTCGGTAATGGATACGTAAGTTTGAGGTCGCGGAAGGGAAAGCCACATTGGCGTCAGTGGCCCAGCCAGCCGTACCGGGATCTCAGAATTTTCATTGAAGTCTCAGGTCGTTGATGATGCCAGCAAGCGAAGCTAAGTGCTTGCATGGGGCCAGACTATTCCCGGCAGAGTGCCAGCAGAGTCCATAATTTTAACTGTAAGAAAATTGTGTTCTGGTCCTGCAGGTTTTGCTGACGTGCACACCGGTCAGCTTGCAAAGTTGCAATGAGCCCCTGCCCAAGCGTTGGACCCCTGTACGGTACGTTTGCTCCCGTTATCCGACAACCTGAAAGAGAAAGGTTCCTCACACCCTCCTTGCGTAGAGCAGATTTCGAAACAAGCCTTTCAAGTCCAACCACATGGACGCCTGTCAGGTACCAGGCACCGGTGGTAAACAGCTAGCCAATGGGATACCAGAAGCAGCTAGTCGAATCAAGCCAAGCTGCAGCTAGAAGAAAAAATAGAGCGATATTATGGGGCCTGGCCCCTCCCTTGCAGGCCTGGAGGGCACAGTCCTGTACAGTACCGGTAGTGTAGCCGCGGAACTGGGTGGGAGCGGCTACGCTGAATCGCTGACAGACGCCTCTTGTCTCTTGTCTGCCGGCTTCTTGACCCAAACTGGTAGGGACAGCATTGCCTTAGTCCCATGTGAAAGAGGACCCAGAAGCTTGTCTTTCGAACCGGATTTCCTCTAGAGGGCTGGGGCCCCTCTAGCTCTGGATTTGTTTACTGTACTGTACTGTACTGTACTGTACTGTATGTGGTGTGTCTGTCTTTTGGATGCTTCCTTTGTTGTCGCGCGCTTACTGTGCAGTGAAACACTACCCCCAAGTCACGAAATAACAATTGAGATGAAGTCCCAATTGATACAAATTGTTTCATTTGGAGACAACGAATGAGCGACCAGAAGCGATTGTTTTCTCAAGTCGAAGACAAGATGAAAAAAGCCACAAAGAAAGGCGTTGAAACAACGCCCTGGCCTCCCTTTGTTCTGAAAGCTTAAACATAGAAACGGCCCGCACTCAACAAGCATCCCCCGGACCAGTCAGAAGCAGCCGAATGAGCCCACACCCACACCCACACCACCAAACGGACACGCAATTCACCGTACCATGTATGATACATACAATGTATGTATGTACATGTGAGTTATGTGGTGCTTGTGCTCGTGCTGGGGCAGATGAAAGGTGCAATGGAATTACTGCAGAAGTGCCGGTGC